AACACATTTCACTGAGAACGAGCTACATGCTAATTTAAACATTTCATAAATTCTCATGAATAATTTTCTGTTATTTATATTATATTATATTTATATTATTTACAGGAAGTGAACTGAAGAGAAAAATGTTAACAGTATGAGCTGAGTACATGTGACATCACAGGAATAATAACGGACAGGAAGCTGATGTTGTTGAGGATGGTAGAGGAGGTGGTGGTTGTTGTTGTTGGAGGAGCTGTGGTTGTTGTCGCTGCAGTTGTGGTTGTTGTCGCTGCAGTTGTGGTTGTTGTTGGAACAGCTGTGGTTGTTGTTGCCGCAGTGTGGTTGTTGTTGGGCAGCTGTGGTTGTTGTCGCTGCAGTTGTGGTTGTTGTTGGACAGCTGTGGTTGTTGTCGCTGCAGTTGTGGTTGTTGTTGGCAGCTGTGGTTGTTGTCGTGCAGTTGTGGTTGTTGTTGCTGCAGCTGTAGTTGTTGTTGCTGCAGTTGTGGTTGTTGTTGGAACAGCTGTGGTTGTTGTTGCTGCTGTGGTTGTTGTTTGGAAGCTGTGGTTGTTGTGTGCAGTTGTGGTGTTGTTGGAACAGCTGTGGTTGTTGTTGGAACAGCTGTGGTTGTTGTTGCTGCAGTTGTGGTTGTTGTTGGAACAGCTGTGGTTGTTGTCGCTGCAGTTGTGGTTGTTGTTGGAAGCTGTGGCAGCTGTGGTTGTTGTCGCTGCAGTTGTGGTTGTTGTTGGGTTGCAGTTGTGGTTGTTGTGCTGCAGTTGTGGTTGTTGTGGGGCAGTTGTGGTTGTTGTTGGAACAGCTGTGGTTGTTGTCGCTGCAGTTGTGGTTGTTGTTGGTGCAGCTGTGGTTGTTGTCGCCAGTTGTGGTTGTTGTTGGAACAGCTGTGGTTGTTGTTGGAACAGCTGTGGTTGTTGTCGCTGCAGTTGTGGTTGTTGTTGGAACAGCTGTGGTTGTTGTCGCTGCAGTTGTGGTTGTTGTTGGAACAGCTGTGGTTGTTGTCGCTGCAGTTGTGGTTGTTGTTGGAACAGCTGTGGTTGTTGTTGGGCACTGTGGTTGTTCGCTGCAGTTGTGGTTGTTGTTGGAACAGCTGTGGTTGTTGTCGCTGCAGTTGTGGTTGTTGTTGGAACAGCTGTGGTTGTTGTCGCTGCAGTTGTGGTTGTTGTTGGAGAGCTGTGGTTGTTGTTGCACAGCTGTGGTTGTTGTCGCTGCAGTTGTGGTTGTTGTTGGGAAGTTGTGGTTGTTGTTGCTGCAGTTGTGGTTGTTGTTGGGGCAGTTGTGGTTGTTGTTGGCAGTTGTGGTTGTTGTGGGGCAGTTGTGGTTGTTGTTGGAAGAGCTGTGGTTGTTGTCGCTAGTTGTGGTTGTTGTTGCTGCAGTTGTGGTTGTTGTTGGCAGTTGTGGTTGTTGTGCTGCAGTTGTGGTTGTTGTTGCGGCAGTTGTGGTTGTTGTTGGAACAGCTGTGGTTGTTGTCGCTGCAGTTGTGGTTGTTGTTGGGGCAGTTGTGGTTGTTTGTCGCAGTTGTGGTTGTTGTTGGAACAGTTGTGGTTGTTGTTGGAACAGCTGTGGTTGTTGTCGCTGCAGTTGTGGTTGTTGTTGGACAGCTGTGGTTGTTGTCGCTGCAGTTGTGGTTGTTGTTGGAACAGCTGTGGTTGTTGTCGCTGCAGTTGTGGTTGTTGTTGGAACAGCTGTGGTTGTTGTCGCTGCAGTTGTGGTTGTTGTTGGAACAGCTGTGGTTGTTGTTGCTGCAGTTGTGGTTGTTGTTGCAGCTGTGGTTGTTGTCGCTACAGCTGTGGTTGTTGTCGCTGCAGTTGTGGTTGTTGTTGGAGCAGCTGTGGTTGTTGTCGCTGTGAGTTGTTGTTGGAGCAGTTGTGGTTGTTGTTGGAGCAGTTGTGGTTGTTGTTGGTGCAGTTGTGGTTGTTGTTGGGGCAGCTGTAGTTGTTGTTGTTGCAGTTGTGGTTGTTTTTGGGCAGTTGTGGTTGTTGTTGCTGCAGTTGTGGTTGTTGTTGGTGCAGTTGTGGTTGTTGTTGGAACAGCTGTGGTTGTTGTTGGCAGCTGTGGTTGTTGTTGGGGCAGTTGTGGTTGTTGTTGCTGCAGTTGTGGTTGTTTGGGCAGTTGTGGTTGTTGTTGGACAGCTGTGGTTGTTGTCGCTGCAGTTGTGGTTGTTGTTGCTGCAGTTGTGGTTGTTGTTGGAACAGCTGTGGTTGTTGTCGCTGCAGTTGTGGTTGTTGTTGGAACAGCTGTGGTTGTTGTCGCTGCAGTTGTGGTTGTTGTTGGAAGCAGTTGTGGTTGTTGTCGCTGCAGTTGTGGTTGTTGTTGGAACAGCTGTGGTTGTTGTTGCTGCAGTTGTGGTTGTTGTTGGAACAGCTGTGGTTGTTGTCGCTGCAGTTGTGGTTGTTGTTGGAACAGCTGTGGTTGTTGTCGCTGCAGTTGTGGTTGTTGTTGGAACAGCTGTGGTTGTTGTTGGAGCAGCTGTGGTTGTTGTGGCAGTTGTGGTTGTTGTTGGAACAGCTGTGGTTGTTGTCGCTGCAGTTGTGGTTGTTGTTGGTGCAGTTGTGGTTGTTGTCGCTGCAGTTGTGGTTGTTGTTGAAGTTGTGGTTGTTGTCGCTGCAGTTGTGGTTGTTGTTGGAACAGCTGTGGTTGTTGGCAGTGTGGTTGTTGTCGCTGCAGTTGTGGTTGTTGTGCTGCTTGTGGTTGTTGTTGGAAGCTGTGGTTGTTGTCTGTGCATTGTGGTTGTTGTCGCTGCATTTGTGGTTGTTGTTGGAACAGTTGTGGTTGTTGTCGCTGCAGTTGTGGTTGTTGTTGGAACAGCTGTGGTTGTTGTTGCCGTTGAGGTTATTGTCCATGCATTGCAGCAGGCTGTGTAGAAATCTTTTCTCAGTTTCATATTTGTTCACCCTTTTAACGAGTATAAACTCTTTGAATAATAAAGCTTCTCTTACCAACAAAAAGAAGAACGATGATACAAATCTTTGCGATCATAGTGAAGTTGTTCCTCTGCTCTCTGAAAATTTTGTCCATCATGGTTATTATCAGCTGAAGAAAAGATCAAATGCCTAGCATGCCTATGGTCGGTTTAATTCAAAGTATGAGGTTGGCATGAAAGAATATTTTTGTTGAGTTAAAATCTTTGCATTTTACTGTTTTCATTCATGGCTGCAACATTATATAACTTTATATTTGAAATTACCAATCTGTGATCTCTTTATTCTTAAAAATCTTACCTTGAAGTTGTCAATGTGCTTCTCTTACACTTTATCACTTCTTGTAATTTTTCATGTGTTGCTAATTATTTCATATTTACCAACAAGGTGCTTGTTTATACTGAGCTTGAAACAGAAGTATAGAACTAACATAGTTCTTTATTACTATTCATTACTATGAAAACAGAACAGAACCATTTAAAAAACGAAAACGTTACTTTTTTTTAATGAAAATGCTCCCTAAATTAAACAACATAAAGCTACCAGATCACAGTAAAAATAACAATTAACCGTAAAAAACACATGTTGTATATTTAAAATGTATTAATATACAACATGTCAGATATATATTTAATATTAGGATTACTTACATAGTATCTCTCTGCTTGAATGTCGTCCACTGCAGTGAAAGAAAGCGATGTTCTTTGACTTCATCTCCTCTTTTTATAAACAGCCAACATGAACCTGAGGGCAAATATGTGCAGGTGGAGTAATGGTAGTTATCGTCATGGTTTAAGGTGTGTGCACTAACCTTTTATTTACCTGCATCTCTCTCCTATTGTCCTCCTGAAGCAGCCATCACTTCAAATTTGTAGTCAAAAAGGATCTGACAGACTAACTCAAACAAATTTTCTGTGATTAGTTTTGGTTTTTATAAAGCTCACAACTGACTGAGTAGGTTTAGACAAAGAAATAACTTTTCCAGGTCTCTACTTCTTTGTTGACAGTCAGTGTGCACATAAAAAACTTCAATTATTTTATTTTTAAAATTTTCTTTTAAACAAATTCTGTGATTGTTATCAATGTTACAATTCAGTTTATTTGTATGGTGCTTCAAATGAATGAAGGTATTTGTATTATTTGTATTTGTATCTTTATTTATTTCAGACATAATAAAACAAACAAAAAAACCAATATATACTCATCTACATGTATTTTCATTTACGAATATGAATATATGTGTAGATATACACACACACACGTATTTGTACAGACAAACAAGAAAAATATAATAAAATAAAACACATTCGTCTAACATGAGATAACAGTTGTTTGGTCTGAAAAGGAGTAGGAAGAAGTATGCACATACTTATTAACTCCTACCCCTGCTCAACATCTTATTAATCCCACATATTTACCTAATTCTCCTCATCACATATTCCACACAATACACAAGAAAACTTATATCAACAAGGCTGGCACGATATTTATAATTTCAATACGAGTTGACATATTTATACATACAATGGGTGATTGTCTTTTTCAATATCATATCCTTCCAAGAGTAATTTTCGAAGTGTCTTTATGAACTTGCCAATTCCTGAGCATTGCTGTAATTCTGCAGTAAAGCTATTCCACAGTTTTACTCCATAAATAGTTACGCAAAAGGTTTTAACATTTGACCGTGCTTTAAGAATCTTCAGATTCAATTTACCCCTTAGTTCATAGTCTCCTTCTCTGTCATAGAACATCCTCTGTATATTTCTTGGTAACATATTGTATCTAGCTTTATACATAATTTTTGCCGTTTTGTATTTTATAAGATCCATAAACTTCAATATTTTTAATTTCAAAAACATGGTGTTAGTATGGTCTCTATATCCAGCTTTACTAATCATCCTGATTGCTTTTTTTTAAATTTTACATATTGGTTGAAGTGAAGTTTTATATGTGTTTCCCCAAATTTCCGCACAGTATTCCAAATATGGCAATATAAGTGAACAGTAAAGTACCCGGAGTGATTTGGAAGGCAAAAAATATTTAACTTTACTCAGTATGGAGACACTTCTTGACAGTTTAGCTTGTACATACTTTATATGAGGTTTCCAGCAGATTTTGTTATCTATTATCACACCCAGAAATTTTGTATCCGAAACTTGCTCTAATTCGACATTATTTACTAATAACTTTGCTTCGGCATCTTTTTTATAATTTCCGAATAACATAAATGTCGTTTTTTCCAAATTTAATGATAACTTATTTCTATCAAACCATGTTTTCAGTTTAATCATTTCTTGTGTGACAATTTCCAAAAGCTGCTGTAAGTTCTCTCCAGCACAAAAAATATTTGTATCATCTGCAAATAGAATAAACTGTAGTATATCTGATGTTCTGCATATATCATTGATATAGAGGATAAACAGCTTTGGTCCCAATACTGACCCCTGCGGAACTCCACAAACAATGTCCATACACTCTGATTGATGTTCCCCAATTTTCACAAATTGCTTCCTGTCTCTCAAATAACTCTTTACCCACTCTAACACCACTCCTCTAATGCCATAATACTCCAATTTATCGAGTAATATTTCATGATTAATTGTATCAAAAGCTTTTTTTAGGTCGATGAATATACTAGCTATACATTGTCTTTTATCTATATTGTTAGTGATATTTTCAATCAATTCTATTAATGCCAATGATGTTGATCTATTTGATCTGAAACCATACTGACTATCCGTTATTATTTTATGTTTGTCTATAAATTTGTCAAGTCTATTAATAAAAACCTTTTCCAGTATTTTTGAAAATTGAGAAAGTAGAGAGACAGGCCTATAATTTGTGAATTGGTGTCTGTCACCATTTTTGAACAATGGTGTTACTTTAGCTATTTTCATTTGTGTCGGGAATGTACCAGTTTGTAAGGACAAATTGCAGATATGTGTTAAGGGTTTGGAAATGCCCTCTATCACTTTCTTGACTATTTCCATATCTATGTCATCAGAGTCTGTAGAGTTTTTTGTTTGTAATTTCCCAACAATATCAATGATTTCCTTTTCTTCTACTGCCGTTAAGAACATTGAATGAGGATTGCGATCAATGAGTCTGGTTTCTTTCTCTACCGAATCTGTCATATCAGGAATTGTTTCAGCCAAGTCTGGCCCAACACTTACAAAGAATTTGTTGAAATCATTTACCACGTCGCTCATATTAGTAATGTTTCTATCATTATTTGTGAAATACGAAGGATAGTCTGACTGTCCAGAGCCCTTTTTAATGATGGTATTTAATGTTTTCCAAATCCCTTTAGTATTATTTTTATTCATAATCAGTAATTTCTCATAGTATTCCTTTTTACATAACCTCAAAATACTCGTTAATTAATTTTTATATTTCTTATATTTATTTTCAGCTTCTGTAGCTAATTGTTCTCAATTTGTGTGATTATAATGTTCAAAACTGAGCATTTAATCTAATCCCCATTGCTGTTTTGTTGCCATTTACTGGTGAACTTGAGTATTTTACTTGTGTTTACACTGTTTTTGGGTTGTGGTTTTATTTTGCTGGCAGAATATCTGTGTTTGTATTTCACCATAGTTTTTCACAGTGTTTGCTGGTAAAGAGGAGATTAAAATACTGGGTAAACATCAGTTGGATCATGGCCCTTTATTCTATATCAAACATCAAAAATAATTCTATAGAAGTTACAAAGCATATTCTAAATCTTATTTATTGTGTGGCAGACTTCCACCAAATATGAACTCTGCAAATATTACACCCCTGACCTTACTAAAACAAGTCAAAAAATAAAGACAGAGTCTGACCTGCTTAACTAATTCAAAACAGGAGAAAACTGGTGATCAAAAGAAACTGCAGCTCACCCCTACCCGGGTCCTCCAGCTGGAACCAGTCACGACGGGGCGGTGTATCCACGCACCAATTGGAGCAGGGCCCTGGCACAGCTGAATTAGTATAAACAGATATATTACCTGAATTAAACAACCCTCCTATTGTTTAATTCCCAAACTAAGAAATTGCTCTTTACAAGGCGTCAGCGATGACATTTTCCGTTATTTTCTTGATTTGCAGGTTAAAATCCTGCAAACGTTGTCAGGAAGCGCTGTGTGGCAGGCAGGAGTTGGACCCAAAATGCAGGCACTCAGACTCGAGGGATGAACTCAGAATGTAGATTTTATTCAAAGACACCAGGAAAAGATACAAAACTAAAGTATACTGGGAAAATATAAACTATACTTTACGGAGAGGCACATGAGGGAACACACAGCTTGAGGGACGACGCGACACAGACTCAGAGAAACACAGGGTTTAAATACACTGGGAAATAACGAGACACAGAAGGAGAGCACAGCTGGGGGAAATCAGAACTGACAAGACAAGGAAGCAAAGTAGGACACATTCACATAAGACATGGAACTTCAAAGTAAAACAGGAAGTACACAGAGACACAGACCAAAGGGGAGAATAAAGCACAGAGAAGTACGAGGGGGGAGCACAGACATGACGGGCTGGGAAAACATGGAATGAAACACAAGGAGGGGAAGCCCAGTAAACTAAACATCTTAGGACCTCCAATAAAATACCTCCAAGAATAACAAATGAACTTAACATGAAACAGGAACACAGGAAAAACTACAAACGCTGGGTCGAATAACCCAGGATCCTGACAAAAGTAGTGACCAACGCATAAGTCTCTCATTTGAGTTTTGCATCCGGGAGAGAAACACCAATGATTTGTGGTCAGTGAATACTTGAATGGGTATAGAGCTGGATCCAATATACACCTCGAAATGCTGCAGGGCTAACAACAAGGAGAGGGCTTCCTTTTCAATAGTGCTGTAGTTCATCTGATGTTTGTTGAACATTTTGGAAAAATAGCAAATTGGGCGATCCACCCCGCGATGGGCTTCCTGCATAAGGACAGCTCCCGCACCAGCTGCACTAGCGTCAACCTCGAGCTTGAAAGGGCACCTGAAATTAGGTCCCGTAAGAACAGGGGAACTGCACA